CAACAGTATTTTTACAGAATAAATTAATTGCAATGATACATCATTAATAATTACTTGTCTGTTTTGATTGCGTGTGTCTTTGCCTATCCCCTTCCCTATTTCACAATGAAAAAGTTTGATGACCCTGGTTTAAGAACCACTGGCTACAGGGTTGTCAACATGTTACCTCAAATAAGCACCACCCAGAAATGAGAGTGTTACAAAGTGGCTCTTATTTGAGGGTTTTTACGGTAATATACATCACATTGCCACCACCATATTTCATACCCAGTAGCCCCACTCAATGTTTTCTTTGTTTGGCATATGAATATTCCTACGGAATAGTCCTACATCCTGTATGAAAACACTTTCACAGATGATGTGTACACATAGTGAAAGACAAAATACCTGGTTGCCCCTGCACATGTAATTTTCCCTGATGACCAGATTGTAGACGTAGAATATGGCTTTCTGATCCTCATTGTGACCTTCTGGAAGACAAAAATGGTAAGAGCTCAAAATTAAAACAAAATGTTGTTTTGACGGGCAGACAGGTGGCTGGCTAAAATGATGGGCAGACAGGAGGCTGGCTAAAATGACGAGCAGACAGGTGGCTGGCTAAAATGACGAGCAGACAGGTGGCTGGCAAAAATGAAGGGCAGATAGGTGGCTGGCTAAAATGACGAGCAGACAGGTGGCTGGCTAAAATGACGAGCAGACAGGTGGCTGGCTAAAATGACGAGCAGACAGGTGGCTGGCTAAAATGACGAGCAGACAGGTGGCTGGCTAAAATGACGAGCAGACAGGTGGCTGGCAAAAATGAAGGGCAGACATTTGCTCAAAAAATACTATTTGAATTATAGAAAGTTCCAACGTAATAGTACTCTAATATATATAAGAAAATAACATACTAGAACTTTGACAACAACTAGGACAGACATTTACTACTCATAAACCTTGACATTAACAATACATACAATGCAAACTTCAACTAATTATTATGCAAATAAGGTAATTAATATGCACATATTTTAACCCAGAACTAATCAGGTCTGAGCATTGTTCCATAGCATCTATGTACTAAGTTTCATTGGGATGTAATGATTAGTACTTGAAAAATCAAATGCTGAAAATTTAAAATTATGCAATATAGGTAATTAATATGCAAATATTATTAACCTAAAACCAATCAGGTCTGTGTGTTGTCCTATGTCATTTAGGTACCAAGTTTCATAGAAATGTGATCATTTTTACTTGAGATATCAGAGGAAAAGCCAAGAATTGACTAATCATTATGCAAATAAGGTTATTAATATGCATCATTTTTTACCAACTCACCAAATCTGTGCATTAGTCCAGAGCATACATGTCCAAGTTTCATCAAAAACTAACATGTGATTCTTGAAATATCAGTGGAACAGCAGGGGTCAAAATACTCTGGTGCACACTGCACTATGCACATAGATTATTAGCTAGTGCAAGTAAACTCAAAATATAATGTGCACGCTGTGCATGTAGAAATTAACACAACATTTTCTCATTATATTCACTAAGTCTAAATTAAGTTCAACCAACATTGTGAGACAACTAAAAAAATTCGAATTCTTTTGTGATTGCATCAATTGAAAACCCGTAAATTTTATCAAGTTAGTGCAAGTAAATTTCAACTTCAACATGCACACTGTGCATGCAGGGAAAAAATTCTATTTCAATCCCTGAACAGACAGACACACACGCATACATACATACATACATACATACATACATACATACATACATACATACAGAAGCACTAACTGCTAAAATCATTGTGTACTTTGCACAAAGCAGTTAAAAACCCTATTAGCAAGTAATACATTTGAGAAAAAATGAAAAATCATACAAAGCTATGATTGCAGACTCGCTTGTTTGTACAATTGTCTTAAAAGTAGATCTGTGTATAGTTCTGAATGTGCAGAAACCATATTTGTATATTATTTATTCAGGGCCATAGCATTTTGCCTACTGTGACAATAAACCCCAACATTTTCCAAATCGAGATATGAACCCGTAAAAACAACATCAATATAATTAGGCAACAATGTCAATCAACAATAACTTCTACTTACTGCAGATTATTAAATATTTGGGCTGAAATCCAGCGTGTAGCAGTATGTGCGAACATTCACAATGACAACATACATTCATACATTGTACCTGGGTTTGGGTTGTTGAAGTAATTATTCCCAGAATGCAACAATCTAATGTTTTTGTCATCCAATGACAAAATCACCCAATGACGAAGTACCCAAAAAGTGAGGTAAACAATATTGAACATCTTTAAATGTGATTATATAGTGAATAGGTAATTTTTTCAAAAATAATTTTATATAATTATTTTCATTCAATGTGTTGAGAACATTGTAATATCTACTGATGATATAGTTGCGTTATTAAAAACATTGTAATATCTACTGATGATATAGTCGCGTTATTAAAAACATTGTAAAAATACCAAACATCACATATTTAACGTTTTTACGTTCACGTATAAACTTTTTCATTATTTTTCTCCTTTACTTTATCCACATAATAATCTGAAATCTGCTCTAAAAACAATGAATATGACTACAACGTACAAAATATGATTTTCATTTTTATCAAAAGTAAGCCACACCACTCACAAGTGCCTGATATGTAGGTGTGAGTGGCCCCCTCGCCAACCGAATGGCAGTAGACCCCACTAGCGCCTGACAGAATAGTGTACGTCTTGATGACAAGATCAATTCTACGAATTCGCAAAGTTCACACGTTCTTGCAATTTATTTTGGTGGTCATGGTAACACTATCAATCAAAGCAGTGTTTGTACTGTCGTCAAAATCACAGACGATAAACAATGGAAGGAAATAAAGTCTGCTGTGAATGGTTACTCTTTGATGGCACTATCTGGCATTCTTGTAATTTGATGGGTACTGACAAAAAATCATCAGGGGGAAGTGAGAAACTACATTGTTCTGTCAGGCATGTGTCAGGTTTGGAGCATATATTCTGTAAAACTCATTAATGTCACAGAGTAGGCCTTATTACGACACACAACTAATGCACTAGTCAGCAAATGACTGGTATATAATGGAGAATAGGTTTGGCACAAGTCAATCATGACGTTATGCAATGAATGCAATAACACATCTAAGGCTGCATTAAAATTGTTATTTAGTATCTAAAAGCAAAATACTTACTCACCACCCAGAACCAATAGATCCGTATGAAATTCGACAGTACATCAACATTTTAAATTTGATACAAATACTAATTGTTTAAATTACCTTATCCAGTGTCACTGATTGAGCCTATATTTAGCACATACTACGTATTCTGTTTTAATAATTGTAATCACTCACCCCAGCATCTCGCCTGTACTCAACATTGATACCTTCCATGCCAATTCTTCTTAAATCCAGGTGACATCGAGTACTAAAACAGCAGACTACATTGTTTATGTAAATGTCAACACTTTGGGACTCTGCTGGTTCTGGTTGCACGTGTGCAGGTTCGCCTATAACCAGGTTCTCTTCGGCTTCTTGCTCTATAACCGGACCAATCATCTCGGTGCCTTGGATGACCGTTTCTGTCATGTTCACACGTTGCTATGGAAACAACTATTTCCAAGTTTTTGTCTCTACTCCCAATTGATGGGAAGTGTCAAATAAAATTTCATCCACCCAGACTAGAGGTTGGCAACAGCCATGATTTCAAGAACGAAGGAAATTTGGTCCGACGTTCCGCAAATATCAGACAGGTTTCTTTGTTAAATGTGATTTATTTTTTGGTTTGCTTCAATGTGAAACCAAAATTGGACTAAAGATGAAATTGTAGCACTTACGTTGTTAGAGACTCGCTAACACTCGCACGTGAACACGGTGATAGGAAATCACAATTCGTGAAATAAATTAACTTTCGTCAACTGAAGCTTCGGCCAATCAAGATATAGCCGAACATTTACGAAGCTAGTCTAAAACATGTTCGTAACACATCGTCTGATTGGCTTAATCTCAACTATAACCTTTCAACTCCGTCTGTTTGACTGGCGAAATATTATTAATATTGAATCATTGCGCGTAGTAAAATAGAATCATATCGCTTCTTCGTTCTACGAAGACAAAACAAAACACGTAATTGAACATAATATCGGAAAATTCCAATTTTGTTTGACAATTATATCGGTCACGTTTTCTGTAAAACGTGACCAATCAAATTGCGCGTAGCTTTTAAGTGTTGGCGGTCAAGGACGAGGCCGGGAAGTTTGAAGCTAAATCAAACCTTCAGTGTACATTGACGGAAGAACATGGCGACTCCTCTCTCTAACGTCCTTGTCAACGCTCAAAAGAATGCAGTTTTCAGAAGGCTTGAAGTTCGGCGACAAGGGGTAAATACGTGTTACATTTTTTAAGTGCTTGGCTTTTATTATCGTGGGTCACCCCGCCAAATAATAATGAACGACGTCCTTGTTTGTGTGCTTGTGAAACCCACACAGGTGCGAGGTTATTTTCTGAGTTTTAGAAATGGGTATCTATTTACCAATTAAACTTGTCTCTCAATTTTCGAAACTACTGAATATTAACAGTTTTGTTTTGAGTAGGTGGTTCAAGTCATTAGTCAATTGCAATTTTTTTTTTTAAATTTAACTCCGGTACTCTGTAATATGTCCACGAATGTAGGCATTTACAGCAAGTCTCAAAAGTATTGGGGCAGCCAATTTGCAAACTCGCTAGCGAATTGGCTAACTGCTTCAGTTTTGACTAAACGGTTGGCTTTCGAATCTCGCAGGCGTCGTCTTGCGGTCATGCCCACTTATTAAAAGCGAATCTATGTAACAGTAGGGGACGATCAATAGGAGCTAATCAGCGACTGTCTTACAGTTGGATGGCGATTTCGCTTTCAAATATACCAGGGAAAGTGTTCCATGCTCTTTGTGTCCACACAAAAACGACGAATGAGGTCGATTTTTCCAGCGGTTGGCTTAATGAAGAAGCCGTACCTACACACGAATTGGTGACATCACAAAATACATGACCTTCAATCGGGGTCGTTTCCTCGGTATATACGAATTGGTATATACAAATTAAAATAAAGATACTTACCGTAAAAACTCAATCAATTCGGCCATGTAAAAATAAATATTTTTGGGGGTGGGCCAATTGATTGAATAAATATAGAAAATATGTTTCCGAAGTGGTCGATTTGTTTGAATAATTTTTCAACGTTTTAAAACTGGGTTCGAAGTGTGTATCACCGGTAACTGAATAAATATATCGTTTTCCCCGAGATTAGAGTAAAGGTGTAGTACTAGTCTGAGACTTGACCCAATTTTAAAACAAACTACGAGCGCGTTCAAGAAATCTGACTCAACCAGGCCACCTGCTGTTTTGTTGTCGTGAAGACGACAGTTTTATGTCGCGCTCCCCGTTAATGTAAACAAACATGGTAACGTAAAAAACTGAATAAATATATCTTTTGCGGAATTGGAGTAAAGGTGTACCGGTAGTACTAGTCTGAGACTTGACCCAATTTTAAAACAAACTACAAGCGCGTTCAAGAAATCTGACGCAACCAGGCCACCTGCTGTTTTGTTGCCGTGGAGACGACAGTTTTATGTCACGCTCCCGTAAATGTAAACAAACATGGTAACGTGAAAAACTCACTGGAATAGAGTAGAATAGAATTATGCTTTATTGCTAATTGCTGTACTATTTTTTTGAAATTATCTACATTAAACTATACATACAATAATATATTTTAATAACTACAATAAATAACACTGAAAAACATATACGAGACGACACACTTGTATTTTGTTACGGTATCTCTTTTTGGAGATGTGGGG